TACAGCTTGAAGATCCAGAGGATAGTGAGTATGACACATCCCTTGGATCCCCCTCAGCACCCTTAGACTTTTCCACCCTTGCTAACCCACCCAATACTCGGTGGAACTTTAGTCGCTAATGAAAAGATCAATGACGGGAATATTGTGGTGCCAGAGATCGGAGGCAGATTCTCAGCTGTAAGGTACTCAATGACGGGAATAGCACAAACCCATGATTCAGGGGCATACCCCAAACTTGCGGGTACTGAACATAGAAGCAGTTTGTGTAGCCTAAGACAGGGGCCTTACCAAAAGAAACAAGAATCCCGACTCGGGAGACCCACCACATAGCCTAAGGCAGATCTTTCATTCGTTAAAGTTATTAATAAAGGGTGAGATGTCGGGAGCTGGAGAAACAACATTCATTACCAAAAAATATAATATGGCTCTACAAACAGTTGACTTAAGCAGGACATTCTGCCTGCACTAGTAACCTTGAGAAAGAATTTATGGCAAGGTTATCTTTCTCTTCCCCTTGCAAACAGTTCTCGGAAAAGATAAGTCATGCAGTAATCTCTTGGAACACCTGGTGGTCAGTCACGTTGCTGAATTGCTCAGTCCCTCTCCCATATCCATAAGAATGCTGTAACCTTTGACCAACTTCTTCAACCCCTTCTAAATACAAATTGTATATAAGAAAAGCTTCCAATTCAATAAAACGACCCTTGACAAGTGGACTTGCTTGGGCTCCGTCTCCTCTTTCTCGCCCGTTTTTCCTTTCAGGGAATGGTCCCCCTCGAGCTTTACCTGTACAGGGTCCCCGCAGGCGGGGGCAACTCATGACAATTCTGCCTCAGCCTCCCAAATACTAGGATTGTGTGAATGGCTTCACATGGAAATTTAATTGATGAGCTGGAAGTGGTGGCACACAACTTTAATCCCAGCACTGGGAAGGCTAAGGCAAGAGGGCTGTGCGTTTGAGACTAGCCTGGGCTACGGAACAAGACACTGCTTTAAACATAACAAAACAGCGTAACACAGCCACTGTGATGGCAGCAGCAGGAGAGCCTTTAAGAGGTGACTAGGCCCTCGTGCATGGGCTTGGTAATTATACGGGGCAAGTTTGGCTGTCTTAACTTGTCTTCTGCCTCTGTCACAGGACAGGTGGGGCCAGCAGCCCTTCCACACGCAGGCCCATTAGCACAGGACTTTCCGGCCCCCAGAACTGTAAGCCAGGATATTTTTGTTCACTGTAAACTGCCGAGTCTCCTGCTGGAGCGGCTTCAAGCAGATGGAGCCCTTGGTGGTCCTTGCCATCTTACCTTGAATCAGGGGAAGGTAAAGGTGGTACTGGTCAAGCTCGCCACTGAACACGGCGAAAGCCTGGCGCTTCAGCAGCATGGCCTTCTGCTCAAAGCTGGAGAAGAGCTTCAGTGAACTGCTCTGCATATCTGCAATAAACACATCAATCAGCCTGCTCAAGTGAGAAAACCACCACATACAGACTGGAAACTCACATGGTTAACAGAGGGGAGCACATCTAAATGTCATCAAATATATGGTATGAAAATTGCAAAAATTCACTAAAAATGCAAAAAAAAATTGTGTGTGAATTTCATACATGAGTACTTTATTTACATCAGTTCCACCCCTTGCTCTGCCAGTGTTGATGGGGTAACCTCAAGAAGGCCCTAGCCTTACATGTATTTTAAGAATACTTCAGCAGGGAATGGAGACTCTATGCCTATAATCTTATCACTTGGGAGGCTGAGAAAGGAGGATTGCTAAGAGTTTAAGGCCACCCTGGGCTACATTGTGAGCTCCAGGTCAGTCTGGGCTACAGAGCTAAATCCTGTCTCAAACAAAACAAAACAAAAGAGGCTTGGTGGTTAGATGGAGTCATCGATGGCTCAGTGGTTAAGAGTACTGGCTGTTTGTGCAGAGGACCCAGGTTCAGTTCCCAAAGCCCACACGGTGGCTAACAACTGTCTGGAATTCCAGTTCCAGGGAATCTATTACCCTCTTCTGGAATCCATGGGCATTGCATGCATGGGCACACTCACATATATGCAGGCAACACTCATATATATAAAAATAAATAGAACCAGTGTGGAAGCACATGCCTTTAGTCCCAGCACTTGCGAGGCAGAGGCAGGCAGATCTCTCTGAGTTCAAGGCCAGCATGGTCTACATAGTGAGTTCCAGGTCAGGTGGGGCTACACGGAGACCCTGTCTCAAAAAGACCAAAGAAACAAACAAAACAAAAAACTTAAAACACATATGACCAGACCAAACCTCCCCAATCCCATTTATTTCATTAATGACACGTAATGTTGAGAGAATCAGGAAAGAGCCTGAGATGCAGGAAAGGACTTCTAAGTTGGGCGTGGTGGTCCTTGCTTATAACCACAGCATTTGGAGGCAGAGGTGGGAGGATCAGGAGTGTGAGGCCAGCCTGAGTTACAAAGTGAGAGCCTGCCTGAAAAACTGAAAGTACTCCTAAGAAATTATGGGAAACCTGTGACTTTTAACACAGATGCCAAGCTGTGACCCATGTGCTCAGCAGCATCTCTGCACCCCAAAGCTGTAAAAAAACAAGGCTACTGAGGTCTTGTGCAGAGAGATTGCATTTGGGGGACACTTTTAACCCTGGCAAAATCTACACAACCTGTTAGTTTGTCACTTGAAGTTTGCCATGGCAAAAGCCAATTATGATGGCGGTGGTCCTGAAGGTGACAAGTAAAAGGAAACTTACTCATCAAGTCCTTAAACATTGTCTTCTCATGAGTCAGAAGATGGTCAATAACAGACTTCCATCTGGTTAAGAAAAACAGCAAAATTAGTTAAATATGCAGAAGATGACAATTTCATTAAAAGCATCTGGAAAATAGCACGTCCTTCTAAGAGCTGCTAAAATCACTCTCAGGGCTGGAGAGATGGCTCAGGGGCAGGAATACTTTCTGTGCATGCATGAGGAGCTGACTCTGAATCCCCAACACCCAAGTAGAAAGCCAGGAGTATCCCTGTGCCTGTAACCTTAGCCCTGGGAGTGGGAGAGGGAGGCAGCCCTAGGCCCTGCTGGCTGTTAGTCTAGCTCCAGTTTCAGTGAGAGACCCTGCCTCAAAGGAACAAAGTAGAAATGACAGACAAGGACACCCGATGTCTTCCTCTGGCCTCGGCACATGCAGGCACCAGAGCATGCACCCACATCCATACATGTGCATATATCCCCCACATACACCACACATACACACAGCCCATTTGTAAAGCCAAGGTTGGAGAAGGTCCTGAGTGGGCTTCCTGGTGTAAGGACAAGGCACAGGAAGCCCACTTACTCCTGTGACTCAGTGGTTTTCCCTGCCAGTGTGGTGTCTGGCCCAGTGCAAGAGCATAGCATGAACTAAGAATGTGAGCCAGGAAGTGAGGCAAAGACAGCACCAGGGCCACCAAACACTTCACACTTCACAACTGTAAGATGAAGCAGGAGCAGATCAAGCAGCCCTAGAATCTTCTAGCTCTTTAGAGTCATAGGCTTTCTTTTAAAATTATGTATGTATGTATACATTTATTTATTTATTTATTTATTTATTTTTGAGACAGGGTCTCCCTGTAGCCCCAGCTGGCCTGGAACTTGCTATGTAGACCAAGCTGACCTCAAGGGATCAGCTTGCCTCTGCCTTCCCAGTGCTAGGATAAAAGGCGCACACAACTGAGCTAGGCTGATTTTCTTTCTAAAGAGATTTTGCTTTAGGGATGGTCCATTGGTGATAAATTCTCTTAGTTTTTCTTTCAAAAAATATTTTCATTATTTTTATTTTATGTGCGTGAGTGTATTGCCTGCATGTATGTGAGTGCACCCGTGTTGTGCAATGGTGCAGAGGTCAGAAGAGGGCTTTGGATTCCCCTGGAACTGGAGTTAAGGATGGTTCATAGCTGCCATG